TTATTATTATTATTATTATTATTTCATTTTTATTAATATTATTATTTTATTATTATTATTTTATTATTATTCTTATGGGACTGCGTGCTTTCGCATACATGTATATAACGTTATATATGTATGTAGCAATTTCGCGGCACGCAAGTGTGTATGTATGTGCGCGCGCGTGGTATGTATGTATGTATTTATGATGTGTATACATATATATATATATATGCACACGCAATTATTCATAAATGAATTGAATACAACTAACTTTATGTAGAATGAAAAAAAATGAATTGTTCTGCGCATTAAAAATTTTTTAATATAAAAAAAATATTAAGATGAAAGTCCACAAAAAAATCATACAATTGAGATATTTAAATTAACATTGTTGTACACAGTGATACAATTATAACATAAGCATATGAATAAAATCTATTAGAAAATATATGCTCAAAGTCTTTTAATTTTGTTTTTAATGTATGTAAGATTTGTTTGATATTTCTTTTACTCAGTGAACAAGACATTCATGGCTGGTATCCTCTGCACACTGCATTTCACTATGTCTTCATCAAATGATTCTTGTAATGAGAAAATATTTGATTGCACATATTCACCATTAGATGCACGTTACATTAAATTGCAGGAAACTCTTCCAATCGTCCTCCAAGAAAGAAAGCAAAAAAGAGTACACCGAGTACAGGGCCTCCTCCAACAACAACTACTGCTACATCGGTAAGATAATATTTTTATAGAAATTGATTGATAACAATTTTTATAATAATTTTTATCTTGCTCTATATTTCTCATTATAACTCATTAAATATTAAAATATATTAATTAAAATATATTTTATAATCTCATATATATATATATATATATATATATATATACGTGCGTGCATGCGCGCATGTGCATATATATATGTGTATATATGTGTATATGATGTGTGCATATAAATTATATCCTTTCATATTATAATAATTTTTAAGTTCTTTATTATATTATTTTATTTATATTAGGATATATATGAATTGTTTCACATATATATAGTATTTCTAATAACTTTTTACATTTTTTTTATGCACAATATATTAAATAATAGTGCACTCTTTAGGCACCTACATTGAATCATACTGGAGGTCTTTTAATGAACAATCAACCCCCAACAAATTCTACGGGACCAATTACAAAACCAGCTGTAACTCAATCTAGTAATGTTTCTTCAGAGCAAGGTATGTAAACAATTTAAATTAATTTAAATTTTCAAAAAAACATATTTATGCGATTTTATTATTCTTAATTTTCAGATTATGCAATTCTTAAATATATATTTTAATTTAATATTTAATTATATTAAACATCATTTATATAAATCATTTCATCATTATTATCATCAATTATATTAAACAAAAAGATATATTATAATATTCTTTTCATTATTGCGACGTATAAGAATGTATAATATTAAAAGCACGTCGCATGTTTATATGATAATTTAAAATGTTTTAAATTTTCTACTTTATATTTAATATTTAATAAAATTTTATTAGGTGGCAATAGTCAACAATCTGTAGCAGTAGCTGCTGTTACAGCTGGTCAAGGAATGCCTGTAGCGAGTCACACATCTATGCCCGCTCAACCTCCTCGATCTACAGCTATGGCTACAGCTGCTCCTGTAAAAAAACCTACACCGCCACCACCAACTACATCCAACCCACCAACTCCATCAGTATCTGTACCAACTCCACCACCAAGTGTTACACCTACAAATACGAATTCTATAGTAGCTTCACCGGTTGTGCCTCAGCCACCACAGCCACCTACATCTGTTAGTTCCTTTTCAAATGCAAACACTCCTGTACCCACAGATGGGACAACTCTAACTCAACAATCAGATCTTTTACAACCATATAATACTCTAGGTATGTATTTTATTATATTGTATATTATAATAATATATTAAAATTTATAAAATTTATTTTTTTTTTTATATGAATATTTTATGAAAAAAATATTTTTTTTGAACAGCTCCTGTGCCTACTACACAAACATCGTTGGAACAAATGTCATTAAAAAAAAAACCGCACATACCAATGATTCAGACACCACATACAACAACTAATAACACCAATTTAAATTTACTGCCTGATATAAAAACACCAGTGAATATGATGCCTACAAGTATGGCATCTAATCTAAATTTGGGAAATATGACCATGGCCAATCTGAATATGAATTTACAACAAGGATTAGCTACTCATATGTCAATGCACAATCAGTTGGAAAATATGATAAATACAACATCACCTTTAACTAATATACAAAATTCTCACAATGCTACAATATCACAACAGCATTCCAATGGATTTTCTAATATTAAGCGTGAGAATTCTCCGCCTAATATGTTAAATAATAATGGCATATCTGGTCTAAATATGGGAATGAGTATGGGCGGAATAGGTTCAATTTTTGATCCTATGCCCATGCAGTCATCTATGCCAATGCAAATGTCACAAATTCCAATTAAGAAAGAAGAGAAATCAGTATCAATTTCTCAATCGCAAATGCCTCAAAAGCCTATGGATGGTATGTGTTATGATTAGTTTAGATTTAAAGCATGCATTTGAATATTATGTTATGTTGCTGCAAATTATAATTTTTATCTTTAAATTTAATTCATTATATCTATCATCTAATCATTACTATTTTCTATTCATTTCTGCTGATTTAATCTATACTAAAATAATATATTAACTTAATATTTGTAAATATTTTTATTTTTATATTTTTCAAATAATTCACTTTTTCATTTTTCAAATTTGCTTCTTCACTTTTTCTTTATAGAGCATGATAATGTATTACATATTTTCTGATATTGCAAATTAAATGTATTAACTTTATTAAAAATCAACTTTATTTAATCCTTGTTATTTATGTATGTTGTTCATATTTTAAATTGCTATATTAACTGCTTACTAATCAAATATATAATGCCGTTGCTCTAGCCGGAGCTCTTTTTGCAGAGATGAATACAGGGATGCCATCAATGAGTAATCATTCGAGTTCACAGCTCATGCCTGAGAAAAAGATGACACCACCCGATTCAAAAAATCCTGTGTCGAATTTTGCTTCAGCTTTTAAAAATAAGGTAAGAGGATTTTCAAATTTTTGTAATGTTACATAATTTTCTTTCTGTATTTTTCTAAATATTTAATTTTTTTACTTATTTATTCTTATATAGACTGTAGAACAAAATGTGAAAAATGCCTCATCATGGTCATCTTTAGCACAAGCATCAAGTCCTCAATCTGCAGCAGGAAGTAGCATGAAAAGTGCAGCACAGGATTCATTCCAAGCATTCAAAAAACAAGCAAAAGAAAAGCAAGACAGGGTTAGTGAAATATATTTATTTTATAAATAATATAATAATATTATTGTACATAATTAATATAATGCTTTTTATTTGATTATTTAATAAAATTAAATAAACACTTTCATATATGTAAATTAATATATATATGATATATTTAAAAATAAATATCTAATTATTTCTATAGCAAAGAGCTTTATTGGAACAACAAGAAATGCGTAGACAACAAAAAGAACAAGCAGAACGAGAACGTTTACGACAAGAAAATGAAAGAAGAAGAGAACGAGAAGAAGAAGACGCTTTAGACAAAGTTAGAAAAACTGTTGGTGATCAGCAAGGAAATGTGATGACTGCTACGTCAAGAGCAGAAGAAGTCAAAGCCATTGTTGATACTGATAGTAGTAGTCCAAGTCATTCATCCAATCAGGATAAGGCCGCAGCTGAAAGAGAACGTCAAAGGCTACGAGAGCAAGAACGACGACGACGCGAAGCGGTAAGTTCTATTATACTTTTTATATGTAGTATTTCATGTTTCGTAAAACTTTAAATTTAAATATATGAAAATTCAAATAATATATATATATATATATATCAAGTATCAAATATAGTCTCTTATATAAAAATTAGAAATATTTAATTATTTTTTTGTAGAAAGTTTGAATCATAAATAAATTTTCTTTATCGTCTACAGATTTTGGTAGACGAATTTGCCAAGATTGGATATATTTATTATTTCAGATGGCTGGACAAATTGACATGAACATGCAAAGTGATTTGATGGCAGCATTTGAGGAGTCGTTATAATGTTATTTGCTGTTCGTTGTAAATCCACTAAAACTGGGCAAGACTTGGATGAATATTTGACGCTGGATGATACGATAAAAACGTATAATATATACGTCAGTCAATAACAAATAATAATAATAATAAATAATGAAATAAACCGAATCGAAAAAGTCGGTGTAACAAAGTAAATAATATAATGGTGGTGCGAGTTGGGACATTCCAACAAAGAACCTTAACGTCATTGTCCGAGTGGATCGGAATTCAAAGAAACAGTTTATCAAATAACTCAAACTTGTGTGTAATCGACGGACACCTAAGTGTGACCTAATGTAATTAGATAAATACTTACACGACACTTTAAAAAAATACTACACTGACTATTGTGTTACATTTTTCCGGTTTTCATAAGTTTGTACTTTATGTAAATTTCGAAACAAAACAAAAAAATATTACACAGATGATAAGTGAACGAAAGAAAGAGTATGCGAGAGAGAGAGAGAGAGAGAGAGAAAAATAGAATGTATAATGTGCGGTCAAAGAATAGATGAGTATGAAAGTGTGAACAGAGTGAAAGTTGTGTACATTTAGTTAAGTTTTATATTTTTCCACATTCAGTCATTAATCGTTGGTAGGATTACATAGACAGTGTTTCTGCCAATAATACATATAATTATTAGCAATTACTAATAATTTTATTGCAGATTTCTTTCTCGATTATGAATATACACTATTTGTAATCACGAAATAGGTAGACTTGTTAAGTCAATAATATAGAAAAATATATCTAATGCGAACATAGATTGGTGAATTTAATCATATTGATCATTATGATAGCCCAGTTAAGTCTATCTCGATTTCGATTGACTTGAGAATCAAATCAGGGCCAATCGGTTGATTTGAAAAAACGAAAAAATAAATATTTGTAAACTCACCTTAGAACAAAGTCGTCAATTATTACGAATAACCGTAAGGTGATTATAGAATGATATAGCTTCGATCCTACCAACTATTAGATCAGATCCACGTATGTACCTAATTATTGGTATACTTTGGGATCGCAGAAACAGAAAATGTGACACAGTATCGGCTCGTAAATGGAACATTATTTAGAAAACAATTATGTTTGTTTTATAAAATGAATTATGAAAATAGTTCATTAAGGAAATGTTAGACATTTCAAGAAAATTATTGAAATATAACTACAGAGTCGCGATTTGATAAAGCGATTCAAATTTTACAAAATATAAATTGCCCTTATATATGTATGTACGCAATTGTATAACGCGCATCCAAAATTCAATCGGCAAAAAGTACAAAAAATGACATTTAATTAAAAAACCGATTATTGATTAAAATTTGGATTTATTGCGTACTACTATTATTATATTACTATTACAGAGGGATTTTTAAAGAAGTATTTGAATTTGTAGAAGTTATAAAAATAATGGCTATAGTGGTACAGAGACATTACATGATAACAAGAGTTATTATGTAAGGTATATTATTATTATTATATATTAATTATTATTAATTATTATTATTAATATTATTATTAATATTATTATTATTATTATTATTATTAAATTATTTCATTGAATGGAATTTTATTTTTTTAAGAGCCTCTTTAAACCTGCAATGTCTTTCTCTTTATCGTAGCGTAACAAATGAGTTTTATTTGGAATTAAAGGAACGCTACACTGACACAAGTCGTTTGTGGCATTAACAAAATATGCTTAATTTTATTTTTGCTTAATTCAAAAGAATTTACTGTTCACAAATACATGTTCCTTTCTACGTGATACTAGAACAAATACTTTTTACTACAGTTGCGAACAATGCAAAGATCTTAAATAATATTCAAAGATCGAATACGCAGTTTGGTACATACTAAATACGCGATGTTCGTAAGATCATCAAAAATGAATTCGTCTTATTTTCAAACTCTGTCAAATGGCAAAGTGTATAAGATATCGATGATAGATCACTAATACGTAATGTTTAATTTTATTTATTCTGAGTTTTTTTTTTTTTTTTTTTCAACATGATCTATCATTGTATCGTATAACTTTGTTTTCGACGAACCTCGTAGAGTTTGACGTTTTCGTTGAACGTCGCTTTTGAAAATCGATCGTGTAATTGCACATTATGTAAATTTTGAAGAGAAATTTCGCGAAAAATTTGCGATCGATGAAAACAAGAAAAAGGAAAGAAGAAGAAATCTATTTCCGATCTTCAAGAATTCCGTCGAAAGTTTGGCTTGCGTTTAAATTGCTGAAATGCCCCTCGCCTAAAGATGACATTACAGTGTATACAAATGATTTATTATTACAGAGACGCTTAGACCTGATTCCGTCGCATTAAATTTGTTTAATATAATAGTCGTTCAAATTTCTTGAGCGTTTCCTCCAAACGAGTGAATGGAGTCGACGCTAAAGAAAAAACGTGTCGAGATAACGAACAGGAAAGCGTAGGAGGCGTGTATCTATGTCGAAGATCACGAAATATCCACGTTTGTAGAGTAACGTTAATTGTATGTGTGCCTGTCTATGATTTGTTTAGATACTTATCAATTACGATACAGGCAACAGATATGTGAATTCTAAGTGCAAGTAAATGATTGACAGGGAAACGTATAACGGTTTGAAAAAAATAATGTCGTAAATAATTGAATCCGAAATATTTCTCGGGTATATTGATTGAATTTATTGTGTGTTGTCATTGTTTGCGACCGATTGAAATATTGTATCGAATATTGAGAAACAGGATCGCAACCAAGGAGCTCGAAAAATAGTACACACCAGGTGTAATAAAATAGAAAGCGAAAATTTATAAGTATATATTCGCGTCGGTATTCGTAATCCTGTTTTCGTTGTCAAGTGCATCGGAGATGAACGAAAAAAGAAAAAAGAAAAAAAAAAAAAAAGAACATTGATAATAATATAATAAGCATTCATACGTGGAATGCTCTTTATTCTCATGTGTTGTGTGCGCTTTCATATCAATGCGATCACGCATTCGTTGATCGTCAATACTAATTCTAGCAATACAGTAGACTATCTTACATCTTTTTTTATTTAATACACCGGCATTGTTCCCGGATGTTTGCTAATCAAAATTCAAGATTTACGAGAATGAAATCTTGGCTCTCAACTTTTAGCAATGTATTCACTGCGATATTAATATTCGCGTCTTAGCATGTACAATGATTTAGTCATCCGTATGTTAATTCTTGTTGTATGCACTTAATGCAGTGAGATGATTTCCTGCGAGGGTGACATTAATTAATATGTGAAAAAAAGGGAAAGTGAGAAAAATAATCTTGTGTTCTTTCGATATAAAAAAAAAAAAAAAAAAAAAGCGATGTTTCGAGGAGATAATGGAATTGTCATAGATATAAAAATCGAATCGAAGTTTAAGTCTAGGCGTAATAAATATGTACTGTTTTTCCGTTTACTAACGTCGATCATTATCGGTATTCGAGCAAGATTTTGCGAAAACATGTCTATTGGCATATATAATTACAAATTAATTATATTTGATATTCGAATACGATAGATGGTACGTTATAATACGATGTAATATACAATATAAAATGTTAGGAAATGTAAAAAAAAAAAAAAAAAAAAAAAAAAAAAAAAAAAAAAAANAAAAAAGAAAAAAAGAGAAAAAAAAAAAAGAAACATTGAAATGTGACATCATGTTAAACGTAATCGATTTTCTCTGTTCAAAATGAATTAAATGATTTTTTCTGAAAGAGAAAATCGTTTATAATGATTTAAATATTTTCATGTACAATCAGTACGTGTTTATCTTCCAGCGAATGCTTTTAACGACATTCTGCATGTGTTATTTTTCTATTTGTTTAATTTTTCGTGTCCTGAGCGTAGTTAGTAATATAAAACGATATATCAGAAATGAAAAATTCTGATATATCACGTATTAGGAAACGATGCTCAGAAATGAAAAATTTTTTATTAATCGACAAAGCAATTCCACGATTTTAATTGTTTTTGCTCGATTATTGTCTATATTGTACCATTAGACTGACCAATCGCAAGTGTCTTCGAATGAAAGAATTCCTCTGATTATGAAATTGCGTCGTGTTAAAATAACGAGCTCAATAGTGACACGAATTCTAAAACAAAGAAAAAAAAAAAAAAAAAGAAATATTAAAAAGAAAGAATTAAAGAAGAGAGTGAGTTTGATAAAGAGAAAGCGAATAAGAGAGGGAGCGAATAAGAGAAAAGATGGAAATAGGAATGAAAGTGAGAATGGAAGAGAGCAAGAAGGAATGTGTGTACTAGGTATTATGATTGTATAATACGTGGTTTGTAATTGTACATACGAGAAGAAATCATTGGCAGCAATTTAAACAGAATACAAATATCTATGTATAAAAAGTAATAAGTACTAATACACACCTCTATATATGTGATAAGGTTTGTAATATTTAAGGGAGGCCGATAGATTGTATAACCTACTAGATCTCAGTATAAGTTACTAGGTAAAGATCGTAATAATTCGTAAGTAACACCAAAATCACTCCGCTGTATCAAAAAAATAATTTTTTATATAAGTTCCCACGGGCGCACATCATCTCCAATGGCACATGAGTTTTAGTAGACTTATTACGACTAACGATAGCAAGACATTAAGCTGGTTGTACATAAATAATAATGATGAAATGAAGAATAAATGGCTAAAATAAAGAAATGCTTGATGTTGTTAAGTAAGAGAGGACGTTGTTTACTTGAGCCAAATTTGTTCGCACGCTTACCCCTGACTTCCATTAAACTATTTTTATTCAAAAAGAAATAATTTATAATTTTTTATGTTCATCCAAAGAATGCAAATAAAAAAATTATTGGATTTCTAATGTGACTTTTTTGTATTGATGCATCGTTACAAATGCATTTATTCAATATATATATTTTAATATTGTTAAAAAGATAAATTTAATACAAATTTAATTCATAATTTTTTATTTCTTTACAAACTCGGAAATAATAACAATATGTATTGAAAAATATCAATTCATTCTATCATCTCTATTTACTTAACAATATCAAATTGAACTATATCGTCTGTTTTCTTATTAATATCTATAAATAAATAAGAAAAGAGACATTTATTAGATATTTGAATTAATGTTACGAGGCAAATGTGAATACAATGTTATATAATAAAACTGCAGGTTATTAATTATAGATATATATATATATATATATACAGAATTACCTTTCTTAGTTTATAATATTTTGCATGTTATATATAAAAATATAAATATATAAATATGAATAGAGAGAGAAAGAAACAGAGTGAAAGTGTTACATAGTCATCGATAGAAGAGATATACTAATTGAAATACATATTCTCATGTTTGACGTTTTCTCTTATGTTGCGGATCTATTACATTGGATAAGAAATATTGTATATAATATTAATACAGATAAAACAATGCATATTATACGTTATTATAATCTTTACAAATATGCTAATTATTCTAAGGTTTAATTATTAATAACTAATTGAAAGTAAATTAATTGTACTTGTATTTTTCATTGACCTTACCTCTTATAGAACAACTCAAATGTAAAATTTATAATATAAAATTTAATTGAAATAAAATAAAAAGTATCTTAAAATTGATACTCAATAATTAAATTCGTTTCTTTTTTTATAAATAATTACACACAAATTTTTTATTTTCTTCTTAAATTATATATAAAATTTAATTAATATATTCTTTTTAAAATATTATATATTTTAACATATGTTGATAAGTGAATTTAAATATCACATTGTTTTTTGAAGCGATTAAATTCTTTTAATCTATAAGCTTGTGTGCGAATAAAACCATCCACGTCTTCAGGTTCGAAATCTCCTTGTACATCCATTGAAACTAAATTTTGATTGTATAAAGAAGTTTTGCTATGTCGACTAAGTACAGATACTGCAAGTTCAAAATAATAAGTATTTGCTTAAAAAAAAATTAATTTCATTAATATATAATATATAATATACTAACCATTTCCCTTGTACAACTGTAATCGAACTGTACCATTTACGTATTTTTTATATAATATGTTATTCCGTACGAAATCAAATTCAGGAGAAAACCAGAAACCTAATGAACATTATTGCCTATTTTTAAACATATTTCATTTTATAAAATTATTATTTTTTATTTTATTAACTAATAAATCCTTAATATTCTTTTTACCATTGTAGACATAATCAGACATTTTGTTAGTCAAATAAGATTTTACTCTTAAAACCTCACGATCCAATATAAAAATCTCTAAATCTTGATGTGCTTTATATAGAATCGTTGCTCCCGGTGATTCGTAAATTTCTCTAGATTGAAATATTAATAATTTTTAACGATTCTAAAATATTTAATAATTTTTATTTTATTTACTTTCAAACCAATAAAACGATTCTCGACAATGTCCTATACCGTGTAGATTATCAACTTCATTTAAATATTGCATTATTTTAAACGGAGTGAGAAACGTTTCATTATTTTTTAATTGTTTGACGGACGACGGATATCCTTGCTCAAATTTGATTTCAATCTCTTCCGGTTCCGTTGGAGAACATAATGGATCACATGTCATTTTATATATTTGTTTCGGGGCTAACGCATTTGGATTTTCCAAAATATCCCGATTCATAACTAAAAATATATGCATATTTTCAATTTTAATTAATTTTTAATTAAAAATATTAAGAAATAAAAGTATATATCATTTCAAATATACCTAACGTGTAATAGATTCGCATCAGTACTCCATGGTTCTTTTGGTGTTATTGAAATAGGAATACCGTTCTGTTGTGCGTACTTTAACAAATCCGGTCTGAAAATCTTGTGTAAAATTCTTTCTCCAAGGTGCGAATATCTGTAGTAAATGATAAAAATAAAAAGATTGTAAAGTATAAAAACAATATATGTGAAAAATATAAAATCAAAATACCTGGATATCTGGATAAAGGCTGTATGTAACAGTTCAGATCAAAACGAACTTGATCATTATCTTTTCCTGTCGCACCATGAGCGATTATATATGCATTTTCAGCTTTTGCAAGTCTCATAAGACTTTCGCTAATGCATGGCCGAGCGATTGCCGTACCCAAAAGATATCTATCTTCGTAAAGAAGTCCGCATGCAATGGCTGGCCACACAAATGATGATAGAAAAACTTCTCTAAGATCTTCTATTACTACCTTGTAAATAATTAAATAAAAAAAGTTAGAAAAGATTGTTTTATTCTTCAGAAGATTAATTATAATTAAAAACATGAAAATCAATAGAATTATCAATCAACGCGATTTAAAACAAAATATCTATAAATTAATAAAAATTTTCTTATCACCTTTGTAGCACCAATTTTTAACGCTTTTTTTCTAGCAGCATCAAAATCTTCTTCTTGTCCAATGTTTGCCTAGATCGAGATTTTTTTTATACAGTATCTATTTAAAAAAAAAGAAATAACAATTATCTTAAATAATCTTACCATATAAGCTATAACTTGATATCCCTTTTCTTTCAACCATAATAATAAGCATGATGTGTCCAGGCCATCAGTAAGCTAAAACAACTTTCTTCGCTGTTTCGGACATTTTTTTAAACTCTTCATGCAATCGGAATTTAAAGACAATAAGATAATATTAATTTTGTAAATCGACTGTTGGATCTCATATATATATATATATATATATATATATATATATACACATATATATATAACTCCGCTTGTTGACCCATGAATGATTTTCATAATAATAATATAAAATGAATTAATTTTTATGTAAATTTTAATTGGCAATATATTCAAATCAAATAAAATTGTATCTCTGCTTAATGTGGTATGGTGAATGCGTAAAAAAAGAAACAAAATTGGAGCGAATTGTAGGCCTTTATAAGCAGAACATTTTGTTTAAACTACAATCTACATACATATATGTACTCATATAATGTATTACGTAATAATCAATACCGTAAACTTTGTAATAATCTCGCCGCTAAATAATCACAATATTAACACAATATTATCAATAACCATTACGATCATTAACAGATTAACTTCCACCGATCGCGAAAGCGATGTACAATTGCTTCGTATGTAGCAGAAGTCTCAACGTGTAAGTACTTATCAATATAGTAAAGATATTATTTTGAATGAAACAAGTGTAAGTCTTTTATAATCGGACAGTTCTCAAATTGATATAAATGCACGTTTTAAGGTGAACCAAAAACGGCATTTATATTATATATAATTCAATACATATCTGTACGCTATTCAAATGCACTTATTTAGCAACAAATTGATAATATAATAAAGTACATGTAACGAATAACTAAATATACATCTATCGTTTTATTATACAATAAGACATTTAAATATTTGTATCTTTAAACATATTTAAATAACTTTGAACGATTTACAAAATAAATATTAATTTTACTTATTTTCTTACTAAACTATGCTTGCTGAAATTAAGGGACATATAATCCATGTTATACAATACTCAATTCTTATATGAATTAAAGAAACAATAATACTGATTTCGCAAGCGAAATCTTCACACTAAATATTCTTTATCATAGTGTAACAATCGATAATTTTTGGAGCGGGAGATAACGAAATATTAATAATAACGAGAAATTTACACGAACATCACGATTTTCTACTACAATACATCAATTTCTTTTTGCTAAACGCATCGCTTATTTTTTAACAAAGGGATAATATGGCATAGGATAACATATGATATTTGAGCTAGATCATTCGCGAGCCTAAATTACTATTAAGCACCTCTGTACGATTTTCATTAGTATTGCCAACATATTTATTCCTTCCATACATTTTTTATTTGCGCAGGCACTTAATATCTTTTTCTTCTGGCGCTATTATATTCTAGCCAAATGATGTTTATGATATGACATTTCCCAATGTTTTTAATTAGTCGCTAATTAACTAGACGACTTTAACAATTGACTGAGTGTTCCTTATTTTATATTAATTATACTTCGAGATCATCCACAAAACTTCGTAGCTGATATTATTATTAACGGAGCCAAAGCTAATGGCATATTAGGAATACGGGAATGTTTTTATTTTTTTTTACAACATAAACATTTTTTTTTTATATGTGAAGTTTACTTAAATCATCTAAGAAGGATTTCGGTGTAATTATATGCGACGAACCTAAAGTGAGATAATAATGTAATATTAAAACAAATTCAATTATATAGATTTTTAATGTATGCTTACCAATTATGACTTCCCAATTTTTTAAAGCATTTGTAACTTCGTAAGCGCATCGGATTTCAGAAAAGCAAACACCTCCAACGACAAAAACGATTAATCTTGGAACATTCTTAATAGTTTGTGAACCTTTGTCTTTATGCCAATGTCCATATCTTGCACTGAAAAAAAAAAAGAAAAAAATTATATAATTATATAATGTTATAAAATTATAAAATGTTATTTATATAAATTTTTATATTATTATACCTAGTTGGAGCATGATATCCCGAGCTTGCTGCTCGTCCAGCCAAAAAAGGAAAATGTTTAGAATCCAGTTTATCTTCAATAGCGTCTTCCATAATATCTTTCATAACTGGAGTCCAACGACTCATTTGATAAGTTTGTTCTGTAATTCTTTCTTTACGTTGTACGGTATATAATTTTTTACGATTACCACCCTATAAATAGATACAATAAAATAGATTCCAATATCAAAACTATGTTTGAAATATATATGCATTATTAATAATTGATAAAATAAGATATTTACATCTACAACTATGTTAATACCAAGATTAGCCATGTTTACTATAGTTTGTTTATCATCAGGAGATATTTGAGCATGATGAACAAGACGATTAAGATTTTCTTCAGAAATACCATTTTTACTAATAACATATAATGCAATAATTCGTAATTTGTCTAAATGATGTACAGTTTGATCAAGTAAAATTGGAGTAATATTTTTCATTTGATCTTTGATACGTTCTCCTTCAGCATCTGTACCCATCGCTAAGTCCTAGTAAAATGATAATGTGACATTTAATAAATAAATTAATTTGATAACATTTAAAAAAGAAAAAATTATGTAAAACATACTTGCTCTACTTTACATAGTTTATCTACATTTCCTTGGTAACGTTTCATACAATCTTCTGCTAATTGTAAATGTGTGGCATATTTACTCAATTCTTTTTGATATTGTGGCATTTTTTTAATCATCTGTGAAAGATCCCTCATACTTTGTTTGTCTCCTTGTGGCATTCTTTTTGATTCTGTGAATTTCTTTAAATTTTTAGTAACATTCCTAAAAAAGATATATACTATGATATATGTATTTGCATTTTTTTTTAATTATTTATTTTTATTAATAGAATTCTTATTTCTATTAATTTTTTTATGAATTTTTAAATTATTCTACTCACTGTGAAACTACAGCAATATGCTGATGTCTAAGATCTACCCATAAATCGTCATTTTCATCTAATAATACTTCCTTTTGTACTCCTGCAGATGCCTCAAATCTTATAACAAATTTTTAATGTTAAAGTATAATTTGATATTATTCATAACTATTGTAATTCTTACCTATAAACATCATTCTCAATATCTAATAAATCATATGCCATAGCTTGTAGCGTTAATTCGTGTAACAAGGGTGAAACACAGTCAAATCCTCTGTCTAAAATAAGTAATTGAGAACGTGCTTTTTCAGGTCCTTCACCCATCGTTGGCTCATCTGCTTTGTAAGCATCTAATTTTTGTTGAATCATATGTGCCAATTCCAAATTTCGATCAAAATCGCTATAGAAATAAATTATATTATAACTCTATAATAAATTGTATTATAATTGTATTATATAAATTGTATAAAATTTTAATTATTATTTAATTTAAATGAATAGAAAATATAATTATATTATACCTTCGATATCTAACTGATGGATATTCTCCAAGAGTAGCACAAAGTGTCGCAATTTGTTCAGCTATTCTTTCCATATTGGCTGTTCTCAAGTTGGAAAAGGAAGCATTATAAAAGCAAGCAAATGTTTCAGCTGAATCCAAGGAGAAAACCTATTTAATTATATATTTGTTTTAATATTATTTTTACACTTTTTTTATTATTATATATTAAGCGATTATAATTTCATGTATTAGGCAGTGCAATTAATAGCAGAATATACATTTTATATATAAACGTATATATATAGATCGAGAAAGAAGATTAATAAAATATTAGTTACTAATAAAATAGAGAATTGGATACACCGAAAAGAAAAATAGAAATTAGGATGCAAAAGGAAAAAAAGGAACATACAAGCTAAGGTAATCATAGAAGTCTTTCGCCTACATTCTACCCTGTAAAATAAAGAACTGAAACATACGGAGAAATTCTATTTGAAATTAATAAAATAATAACTATCGCGGTTTGCAAATAGCAGCTATAATTTTTTTTTCCTTATTCGTCACCTGAGATTCGTAAGGCAAGAAAGCGATGTTGATCTCTTTCAGGGTTTTGATCTTTTTAGCGGCGAGAGACTTGCAGAGTTCATTGAACAGCTCCTCCGGACACACTGGTTGCGTGCAAGCATGAATGCATTCCATCGTTAGTACGTGCTTTATATGTGAGTATTGTACAAAATAGGGGGAATGATGTCCAATAATTGTGTTATGATTATCGCTGGTCGAAAAATTGGAAGAAGGTAAGTTAAAATATAATAAGAGTGTTATTAGAGTGGTCTTTATAAAGAACACTGATTATGTGTACGTTCATGTATGTATCGGTGAATATTTATGTGCCCGTCACCACGGAAAACGTAAAGTTGTCAGACATTTGAAATCTCAATTTCCTTTGCTTTACCTGTTCTTCGTATGGTATGAAAGCGATGTTGATTTCTTTTAGTGTCTTTATGCGTTTAGCTACCAGCGAGTGACACAATTCTTTGAACAATTCATCTGGACATGCTGTAAAGAGATATACTTAGAATTTTATGTTGATTTACCAAAATTGAAAATACCGGATTGCCCATTCTTGTACATCTTGTACAATTTTTTTTTAATTTCCTGTTTATTAAATGTGTAGAAAAAAAATAAAATCGAAATTGAGTTTTATGTGTACGATAAAGATGCATAAAAGTTAAATTATTTTAATTCTTTATAGTTGCCTTTCTTATGATAATGTTTATCTTAATCAAAATACAAAATGCAACCTACCTTCTGTGAAATAAACATGGGCTACTTTGTAAGAAGTCCTGGTAGGATTACTGAAGTCTTCGATTAATTTTTGGACAGAAGAATTGCATGGTGTGATTAGGTAGATTGCCTCCATGGTAGGTAAAGGTTCCCGTTTCTTGTTGATATCTTCTACTAAGGTAATGCCTTGTGCACTGATATCGTGCATTTTACAACACGCAGATACCATTCTCATGGCCAGTTTATCAACTACTAAAATTCGCCATTGAACGCCAGAACTTCCGGTTTTCTTCTGTTTGATGACTTCATTCATAATCTCTAAAAGAAAAAGTTGAACGATGATTAATATTTTTATATTACAATATGATAGCATTTTAAATCAATTTTTATTCTATTTTATATTAATTAATTTTATTATATTAATTTTTAATACTAATTCTTTAGAGTCTGAAAGTCAATCGATCATAATTTTATTTCGATCGATCATATTCATTAGCATATGATTTATAGAAATGCAATAAACATATTTTATTCATAAAAAAAAACAATATAAATCAAATATATAAAATATATTTGTTAAAATAATAATAATCAGATTGAAATTGTTTTAGGATTATGTTTGAACGATTCAAAATTGAATAGAAGAAATCTATTGGCGCTTTCAACACGTATTGATCGTTTTTACAAGGAATGACGTCATGCTACATGATCGTATCTAAAGAAGGAGCCCCATTTCACACAATATATAGAAAGTAAAAACACTGATAAGCTTGTGTAATTTGATAGTTATCAAATAAAAATACTTTTATTCAATAATCGTATATCACAAATGTTAACATTTTATTATTACTTGGAAATCATTTTATAGGAAAAAATATATATATATATATATATATTAATTAGATTATTTGATACAGATATATAATAGAATAATATGATATATATTTCTAATTTTCACAATGCATAATTATTAGTAACTCAATAAAATTTAAAATAAATAATTATTTCTTAATTATTTCAGTTTAATTATCAAAGAAATAGGAAATATATTTTTTGTTTATGTACTTGTTTACCTCTTTTACGTAATGTTTTCTATAAAGCGTAATAAATTTAGTCTTTTATATTTTATGATTTTGAAAATTTGTATTGATATTTACTTTGTTTATAATTTGTTATATAGTTACATATAAATAATAAAAATTAAAATAAAAACATATATAATAATAATAAAATATATTTAAAAATCAATAATAGATTTATATATGCAAACAGATTCTTTTTTTATTTTTATTAAAAATAAAAATCATTAACTATTAGAAATTAAGAAGTATTATTTACTTATGATATCATTAAACTTTTACAATCAATAGATTAAAAATTTGATAAACGTGTATGTTGATAACCTCTATGTTATTTTATTATAATAAAATATATAATTTTTTAAACGAAATACGAGCGTAATATAATTCTAAAACATAAATTTGACATTTCTATCTAGCAGCCGCTTCATAAACGATGAAATCATCATAGCATATACGCCCTTTGGAGGTTACAGATTATGACAGTTGTACAAGTGATATGATTGTCATATAAAATAAATCTACAAGATTCTTTCAATATTATTATATAAACAAATTTTGCAAAATTTTGCTTTTATTGTAAAGAATTACATTATTTTTTGTTACTCACTTTGACCGACTTGTGCCTTGAGCGCCATTTTGCTAGTAACTGACTGTATGTTTCGTTACCAGGTGGCGTTTCGACGACGAAGAAGCAGATAATTCTAGAATTATCTTATAGTTAATGATTATCTATAATAATGTTTCTCTGTTCAAATCGATGATACTAGACTGTGATTATTAATATAAGTGTTTAATATAATAAATTATTTTATTTATTTAAAAAATTCAATTAATTATTTATTTCAGAAAAATAAATTATGTAAAATTTTATTTGAAAAATGCTATAAATAAGAAAGATCTTTTACGACTTAATATGGATATTTGACAATTTTGAAAATAGACAAATAGAATATTGCAATAGAAATTGTATAAAAAAATATATTATAAAAATATAATATTACTTATATTTATTTGTATTTATTATGTATAATAAAAATAAAATTGTAAAATTATATAAAAAAATTACTCTATATGAAATATAATTTTATTGAATTCATAACTTGTTAATTAAGTAAATACTAGATAAGTTCTTTGCTTTGTATTTTCGATATATATCGAATTACCAAATATCAATTTATCTCGAAAATCGAATCTTATTTTGATTATCGAATATCATTTCAAAACCTATATTCAGACTATTCATATTTATTGTAGGCGTATAATGAATTCATTGTTTCTGAAAAATTCATAATTTATATCATTAAAACAATTTATTTAATTATATACAAGATATATGCAGGATAAGCGCACCACCTGAAAGCGAGAGGGGATGGCGACAACGCCACGCGAGAGAGAAGGAGAAAGAAGATCGGCTCAACGAGGACGTGAGAGGGTTTGTTCAGTTAGTTCGGATTTGTTCGCCGGTGTATATGGTTCGTGTCGACGATTTGCGCGCGCAACACCAGTGTGTACGCTCGCGCTCGAAGGAACGACACTTCGACATTTTTGCGTTTACTTTCTCCGTGATTTCGTGTATCGCTCCGTCTGCGCGCGTTTCCGTGCTGGATTCAAAACTACGCCGGTTCGTCTTGCGTCAATGCACGGAAGAATGTGTGTCGCGGATATTGTTTAACAGTGATAATACGTTCTGACTACGGGCTGTTCCATTCATTTTCTTATGTGACCTGTGTACTTGTGTGATACATTTTTGGTACTCGGTGTTCGGCTGCAACGATCTATGATGAAACTGGAGTATCCTTGTCGCGTCGAGGGTTGGCTGAACGTTTGTGGTAAGTACGATTTCTTTATCTTTCTTTTACTATTTCAAACATATCTTCCGTATACACGATATTTCGTGATTTCCTGGTAAACAATAGGACAAAAAAGATAAAATTAAACTAACGAGGAGGGAGGTTATGTACGGTTGTGTACAAAAGTGTCTGGTACAGTGAACCTTCCAGATGCACGTGCGCTCTGCGCCACGAGAACGTTATTTCGCTCATTTCGCTAGCCGGCACTCAGCCGGGTCCACACGCTTCGTTGCATAACAACAAGTGTAGTGGGAGTCTGTCATCGTTCAGTCATACAGAAACTCTCAGTTCCCAAGAATATCGTACGCTGTATTTCATGATAGTCTCTCCGCGTTTATCTTTCAATAAACAAAGTTGACAGACGAAGAACGGTTTTTTTCTCTTTCGCAAGCGAAGAATGTTTCTTTTGTATTAGCATTTGTTTGACTTACCAATCGTTTAAGCGTTATAAGCTCTTAATTTAGAATAACATTTATTTGCGCATTTATCATTTCTCTTTTACAAAATGAATCGTTCTCTTTTCTTATTTCGATTAAGATTAAAATACTATTGCTACTAGCAAGTGTGCCGAGTTACGTAATATTCCAACGCCCATTTCTAGGTCACAAGGTAAAGTAAGGATAAAAGGAAGTAAACTTGTTTAAACTTTCTTTACGTTAGAGATTGCAGAAAGATTTCTTTAAAAATTTCATGAAATAGATACACGTTACCATAATTTTTTTTATATGTTTTTCCTTTTTTTACAAAAAATTTGTAAAATATTTTGAAACTCGATATAAAATATGTTGTACGCACATTTCTATGTTTACATTTTCACTTTTCTCTATGAATATTGTACGCTTGTACTTTCCCAAACTGTTACATATATAATTATTTTCTCTATATAAACAAGAGAAACAAGATCGATCGAAAGAAATGATAGAAAAAAATGGGAAAACTCGCGGCGCTTTGCATGCTTTATGATATGCAGTTCTTTAGCATAAATGTCGTTAAGTTTGACGATATTTTTTCTGTCGTCAATTTTCACAGGATGAGGCAATGTTTGATTTTTACGTCTTTGATAAGACTCGTTTCGTGACAAAATTTATTTTCAGCCTGACATGATATTTCCCAAGCAAGCCGGAATTGTTGACATTCAAACATACGTGATGAACACGTATCGTGTTAGACATAATAAATCGAACGGCATCATGAGACCACTCGAATGTCTCTGATGGAACGATTGTTCATTATAAGCTGCTTGAAATAATTAGGAGGTCCTGTTTCATGATTCATTAGAGTAACGTTAGAACGTTTAATTCATTTGTTTATTTTTTTTGTTTTCTGTCATTGAAAATGAATTTTTCAATTAAATTATTAAATTATTCTTTTCGATCTGTAAATTCCTGATTTCCAAAATAATATCATTGTCAAGTAATGATTATTTATAAACATAGATTTTTAATTGGAATCTGTGTCTTTTGTAATCTCTTTTTTTATTACATTTGTTCGAAAATTATTCAAATTTAATTTTTTTGTCAAAAATTCATTCTCTCGACACTACATTAAAAGTAAATCTTTCAATTATATCCAAAATTTTAAACACGCGAATATTTCGAGTATCTTGGCGAATTTCCATTTCGTAACGAACGAATGTGCGTATTATTGCGAGATAGAAAACGATTATTGCACAGCCAGTTATTGTGTTACCGGTTGCATCGATTATCACCGATATCGATGTTTCGATATCGATTCCCTTCGATTTTCGTTTACTTCGTCGCTCTTTCGACCCTTCAGGGACTTAAAACGCATCGAGAGACCGGTCGATCGGTCTCCTCTTTTTCTTTTTTTTTCCTTCCGCTTCTTTACTCTTTTCCCCTCTCCCACTCGACGTTTCCCATTTGCATCGAAATGAAAACATACCTATTTGGTGGCCTTCGTCCCAAGTCCCTTTTGTCTTTGGTCGAGCAGGGAATGGACGTTCCTTGTCCTCGCGAATTCGTACACGTCGCGAACATGCTCGTTTTCACCGTGCACCTTTGCTCTTTATCCGGTTCCTCTTACTTTTTTCCGTCTCGAGGACGGAACCAACAATGAAGAAGGAGGAGACAATTCAGCTCGTGCGATTGCCAACATCTCTCTCTCTCTCTCTCTCTCTCTCTCTCTCTCTCTCTCTCTCTCTCTCTCTCGCTTCTCTCCACTTCTCTTTGTGAATGTATTCGAATGTATTCGATAATCGCGTGATTTCGTAATCTTGACAAGAGTTTGATTTGTCTCGCTTCCATCGTGAGTTGCAACTTGTTCGATCAAATCAGTCATTTATTTTTCATAGTAATATATACCGATCACGATCAGAAATTTATCGTATTGGCAAAATTTTTCATACGTTAAATTCTGTTCAAAGCATCGTTCATCATTATTTCTAACCCAAAGAAAAATCTTAAAAGCGAGACGGCCATTTTTCGATATTATCCACTCGATCGGCAAGAAGAAGAAACAAAGGTAAAATAGTTAAATGAACGCGCGAACGGAACCAGTTTTCTTTCCCCGTTTTTTTTATCGCGGCCGCAATTTGTTCAATCGAACGTGTTCAATTATCTCGAAACGAAGATCAGGATCGGTTTTTCTTTCTTCTTGGTCTTGCCCTTTCGGTTTATTAACGAGTATCGCCGAATCGTCCACTTTCCCCTCAGAATGCTCGTGTTTTATCCCGTTTCGTTTGCATTGCACACCTGCAAAATAATAGAGAGCGTTTTCTTCGCTCGTGAACGAGAAACGGGTTGCCCACGTACGGCACAGGTTATTTCTGTACTTACGTTATGTCACTCGGTTCCCCGCTTCGAATCTAGATAAATCACGATGAAAATCACGGGGAATGTTAACCTGTCGTGTACATCTTGGAAAAGTATACGACGCGGTTACGTAACGCGTCCCATTGTGTGCTTCCAAACGTGTGTACGAAGCACGTTCGTGCAAATTCTCGTAAATATTCGAATGAAAAACAAATTATTCGCGACAAATATTTACACAAGTTCTATAATCTTTTTATTTCTATAACCGATCTACTTTTCAATTCTCCTTACGTATAAATTATTCAAGCTTTCGTTATCTTCGAGCTTTCCTTTCATCTCGCGCCGTGGAGATCTGCCATATTTCGATAATTCTGGCCATTGATCATATAGATCATATCGCTACCATCTACGATCCACACACCTCCACTCGAGGGATGCAAATTGAACTCTCACGCTTTTCTATCTTTTGACACGCGCTTTTGTCGAAGCGCAAGAATATATCCTCGAAATATTCACGCGATCGTAAGTTATATAACGTCTAAATAAATATTATTGGATTAATTAAATTTCACCCTAATTAATTAGAGAAAGAAAAAAGAATTTTTTCGCGTATATACGTATACATCGTCCAGACTACATTGTATCATTTTGGCTCGTCCCTGGCATCGCATCGGATCGCGTTAATCCACGAGTATGAGAAGCACGATGATCTTAAATAACCAGGATCGATTTAATCCACCGCGCCATAACGGCCGCAAAATACGTTGCCTCCAGTCACGTTTCCCTTTACTCCCACACGATCTCGACCCGTTACGCTCTCCTCGGCCGGCAAATATAAATAATTGATTTATTGCATGATTTACAAGCATTTCCATACTCCGTTTTACCCGATACGTCCGAAGTTCACATGCATACACCGCGCCCCGGTCGACACACGGCCAGGTTTATCGCGGCTATTGCCGTTACTACTTCATTGTGTAATTGCATCGGTGTTCCTAGTAAACGATATCGCCGCGGATCC